GATTTCCACGACTCAAACAATACCGGAAAACTTTTCGGTGAAGTAACTGAGACTTTTTCTTGTCTTCAGGTAAAATTCCATACTGCAAAAAGTTAACAAATTCGTTCCTCCAATCCCAAGTCAAATTGTTAAAATTTACCTCATTTTTATTTTGGTTGAGAGCCGAATGAAACAAATGTATTACTATAACATTTTCTGCATTTGTTATTTCTGCAACAGACGCGAGATTAGCTAACGCATCTGTTTTTGCATTTTCCTCCCTGGGTATTTGCACAACCTTCCATGACTGAAACTGTCTGATCAATTCCCGTGCCTTTTCCAAATATATTTGCATTCGTGCCTCTCTCTTGCTATGTAAGTCCCCTGCATCTGGTTAACCACTAGTTGCGAATCACTTTTGATTATAATCTGTTCTATACCAAGTTCTCGTGCTAGCTTCAAACCTGCAATCACAACTTCGTACTCCGCTTCATTGTTAGTGATGGGATAACATTTTATTGCTTGTCTTATGATTTCACATGAAGGTGGAATTAGTACAATACCTAAACCCGCTCCTTTAACATTCGAGGAGCCATCGGTAAATAAAATCCAAGTCCTCGGATTAGATCCGATAATTTCTTGTAGTTCCTTTTTTGCTTGAGGAACTATATTTGTGCTGAAATCCACCACAAAATATGCTAAAACCTGCGATTTTATTGCAGTTCTAGGCTGATATATGATATCATATTCAGTGAGTTCTATTGCCCATTTAGCTAACCTACTGGATAGTTCTTGTTTATGCAATATATTCCTTAGAGGAAAGCAGTTACTACAGAGATATGATGACATTGAAAATAAGGTCTCAACTTTCTAGATGCCATAATTAATGCTAAAGCAAGTTTTTCTAAGTGAGGATATCGTGTTTCAGCATCCAACAAAGATTTGCTAACATAATAAATTGGAGATTGTTTACCTCTATCTTCTTGCACCAATATTGCGCTTACCGCCATTTCTGATACGGTGAGATAAATGAGTAGCCTTTCTCCGTCTTTCGGTTTGGCCAGTAAGGGCGGATTTGACAAATATATTTTTAGATCTTTGAGGGCTTGTTAGAATTGGTCAGTCCACTCAAATTGATTTTGCTTTTTCAATACTAAAAAGAATTTAAAACTTTTTTCTGAAGACTTTGAAATAAATATTCCCAAGGCTGCTATCCTCCCTATTAACCTCTGCACCTCTTTTTTGCTTGTGAGTACATTTGGTATCTCCTCAATGGCTTTAATATGTGCAGGATTCACTTCAATACCCCTGTTAGAAATAAGAAAACCTAAAAAATTACCTGAAGCCACGCCAAAGCACACTTTTCTGGATTTAGCTACATATTGTATTTGCGGAGAATTTCGAAAGTGCTTGATAGGTGTTGAAAATAATCCCCTGTTTGTATTGACTTGACCAACATATTATCAATATAGACTTCCATAGTCTTTCCTAGGTGTTCTTGAAACATTTTAGTCACCAATCTTTGATACGTGGCTCCAGCGTTTTTAGTCCGAAGGGCATAACTTTGTAACAATAAGTCCCTCTGTCTCTAATAAACAAAGTTTTTTCTTCATCTAGAGGATCCATATTTATTTGATTATAACCTGAATATGCATCTAGAAAACTTAACAGCTTATGACATGCGGTATAATCAATCAATTGATCTATATGCAGTAAAGGAAACGAATATTTAGGGCAAGATTTATTTAGATCAGTATAATCTACGCAAAACCGCCATTTTCCATTCTTTTTTAGAACTACCACAGTATTACTAACCAGTTTAGGTACTTTACCTCTCGTATAGATCCAATTTTTAAAAGCTTTTGTACCTCATCCTCAATCACTTGATTTTTAAAGGACCCTTGCTTCCTTTTCTTTTGCTTGATTGGTGGGTACGATGGATCCTCATTCAGTTTGTGGGTCATTACCTCTGGTGGTATACCTGTCATATCTGAATGCGACCAAGCAAAGCAATGTGTGTTAGCTTCTAAAAATTTAACAAATTTACCTCTCATTTTTGGGCTCAGTTTTGCTCCGATGTAAACTTTTCTATCTGGCCAGTGCTTGAATAACATGATAGCTTCGAGTTCTTCGGTTGTTGTTTTGATGTTTTCATTCTCTTATGGCTCTTGAATAACATCGGGTCTTGAATCTACATCTGTTTGTCCTGAAATGCTTTCAGTTGAGGTTTGTATTATTATATCCTCAATTGAATTCTATAGTTGCTATTTCTCATCTGCCACATTATTCGATGTGCTTGAATTTGCCACTGAATTGATACTTTTAGAGGCCTGCTGATCTCCACGAATTTGTCGAATCCCCCATTGTGAAGGAAACTTAATAACTTGATACAATGTAGACGATACATCGTCCATATCTTGAATACATGGCCTTCCAAGAATCATATTATAGGCCATATCAGCATCTATCACCTGTAATTTTGTATCCTTGATAACTCCCTCTTCAAATGTGGTAAGAACTATTTCCCTTTTTGTGATAACACTTGAATTATCAAATCCAGACAAAGATCGTGCCTTTGGTACCACCTTGTCACTAACTTGCATTTCATTCACCACCCTTAGCAGAATAATATTTACGGAGCTACCTGGATCAATCAAAACTCATTTTACGTTAGTTTCGTGTACAAGTAAAGATATTACCAGTGCATCGTTGTGAGGAATTAACAAGCCATCCGCATCTGCATCATCAAATGTTATACTGTCTTCATCCAAAACGCGGCGAATTCGCTTTCCATGAGTAACCGTGAGTTTTGACGTCTTTTTTGCAGTTGTATATGTCACAACATTGACCTCATCTCCCCCACTTATCACATTGACTGTTCTATTTGGAGACGGAGGTTTCGGAGGCTCTTGTCTATTCTTCATATATGATTGCCTACCTTTATCACTGAACAAGTCAGTTAAATAACCCTGCTTCAACAAATGATCAACTTCGCTTTGTAATAACCTACAATCTGTTATTTTATGTCCATGATCGTTGTGAAATTCACACCAGAAATCTGGATTTCTTTTGATCGGGTTTGATTTCATTTCTTTAGGCCACCGCACCATATCTCCCATACTTCTTAAAATAGCTACCAACTCGGAATTACTAACATTAAAACTAATCTCCAATCCTCGCATCTGTATTGGAATCTATGCCTCACGCATCCCGTCCTTTTCTGAAACTGGATGATGAACCCGCCTATTTGTGCCTTGATCTGGAGTCAGATCATATGTTTTCCTGTTTAGACCATGAATCCCGTCCTGTAGGTCCCATGTAAGGTTCATACCTATTTTTCCCGGACCTTTTTTCAAATTCTGAACGTCTCGAACTTGATTTTTCATCAACCCTTGGTTGTGTAACCGTATCTTTTTCTATCCGCGGCTTAGTGCTGTACCTGTTGTACATATCATTCCATGAAACTCTCGCAAACTTTCCAATTAGTCTCCTCGTAACTTCTGAATTTTTCTCGTTTAAATTGCCCGTGAACGCCATAGCTGCCCAATTATCAGGTACTCGTGGTAGCATCATCCTTTCTCGTTGGAATCTATCCACAAATTCCTTGAGTAATTATGTATCTCCTTGTTTTACCTTAAAGATGTCTTCATCCTTTTTTGCAACCTTCTGAGCTCTCGAATGTACTTTTATGAATGAATCTGCAAGCTTAGCAAAAGAATCAATAGAGTTTTCAGGTAAAAGAGAATACCATATTAATGTCCCTTTCATGAGTGTTTCTCCAATCTTTTTAACCAAAACTGATTCGATTTCCTGCTTGGTTAAGTCATTTTCCTTCACGCTAGTTGTAAATGCAGTTACGTAATTTCGAGGGTAGGTTGTTCCATCATATTTTAGAATACCAGGCATTTTGAACTTTTTAGGAATTGGCAGTAGAGCCGCACTTGGCTTCCAAGGTTGCTGCGATTACTTATCAATATTCACATCTTTTATTACGGGAGGTACGCAAGGTATTTGTTCTATGCGGTCGTTCTGCTCTTTCAACTGTTTCTGCAAAGTTAGTACCAAACTTTATAAATCTGAGTTATTAGGCGTACCTGACTTCCCATCACGATTGGGAACTCCTCCACTACCAGAGTTATCGAGCCTCGAGCATGGGTTTTCTAAAGTCGCCGACTCGCCGTATTGGTTGGTGGAGGAGTTTGTGGCACGTTCGGCAACCCCCTAACAAAGGCTTGAAGAGCATTATTCACGTGCTCTGTAATTAATTGCTTTAAAACGTCTTGTTCTATGGTTTGTTAATCCCCCTGATGATCATTAGCGTGTGATGTGGATCTCTCAGGTGATCCTTCACGGGACTGACGAGGGGATTCTGTTGGAGAGTGATGTGGTGATGTTCCCTCTTGTGGGTTCAGTTGGTTATTTTCGTTACGAGTTGACATAATTTGGTTGTGAGAAAGAAGATTTTGGAAAGTAAAAAGATTATCAGATTTCCGGTAACGGAATCAATTTGCTTAACCAAAAAATAGGATTTTCAGTCAAATAATACTTTACTTCCTCAACAATCCGTTAGAAAAGAGAGAAACAAAAATAACAATATAAATTAGCCAAACGAAATAAGGAATGAGAGTTGATCCTTCAAATTAAGTACAACGCTTTGGTAAAGCAAAAAATTGTAAGTATATTTTAGTAATGCTTGGAACTTGTCCTTACAAGCGAGATTCTCTATCCTTATATAAGAATGTCTAATCATAACATTTTTTCCTATTTATGACAAATTCATTATGAGCATTAAATGTATTGATTGCTCGTTATTGTTGATAACCATAACTGACGCATTCGTAGCTATAAATACCTTATAACGATTCCGATTCCCTTTCCTTATTTATTACTCGTTCATGAATCTTTCCTCCTTTTTGACCTTGTTTCCGTTCGCGCCTCTTCTTTGACAGCTGTTTAGGCTCGGTCATCTGTTCTTTACTATCTCGTGCGTGTTTGATCCGTATCTTCCTTGCATTCTTAATTTCACTAATTGAGTATGCCATCTGTCGCTTCACCATTGTTCCATGTGTCATGCTTTGTCAGCTCATTAAGGTTCCACGTGTGACATCTTTTTCTACCAGTACAGTATAGAAACGAAAAAATTCCCTTTGAAAACTAGCTAGCCTGTGCTATTTTTACACTTGTGTAACTGCTTGAACTCTCCGCCGCCCATATGTCACAGGCCATCGATCCAGTTAATCAATAGGCCACAGATTTCAAAAGCAAGATATCATCGACATTGTTTCATTTTCCAAATATATAAATTATCCTAATACAAAACGTATACACAGACATATATCTTAATAACCATACAAAGAGCTCATTATCTGCTCATAAAGGAGGTTCCAATTAATAGACTAGTTTTTCACAATACAAGCTAGTAATGGATAACAGTTCAATCTGCACTGAGTAAAACATAGGAATAGGATACTTGTACTTTAGACTCAAAAGAGAAGAAGGAAATGTTCAAGACTTGATCAAACAGGGAACATACTTAGAATATCTCTATTATTTGGAAAATATATATGTCCTCAACCTTGTGCCGCTGCTACAACCATTTCTCGACGACGTTTGAAATAAGCTAGCATTGCATCCCGATGTGGGGTATTTTGTTTGATTACAGGGAGTTGCTTAAAGTTATGTATCCAAGCATGTAAACGAGGAAAAGTACTAACTGAGTCGAAGACCTTTACTTCAGCAGCTTCTTGTATGACTTCCAGCCATAACGCTATCCATCCAAAGACTATGTCACTTAATCCAATTGTGTCCCCGCTAAAAAACTTCTTCTCTCCAAGACCTTGCTCTTCTATAATTTTCAACACTTCCTTTGCTTTTTCAGTTGCCTTGACTTGCTCTTCCCCTATCTTGTGAAATATTGCGAAAAATTCTGGGCTCTATATTAAAAAGATATAACATGTTACTTGTTGTTACAGGCCTATAATAACTAAGTAAATTTGATCCATGTCTAATAATATAAGAGCTGAGTTCTTCAAGTCTCATTATATTGTTGTGACATATGAACAAAATTTTCATGTTTTTGGCTCAAGAAAAATGAATTAAGCCTGCAAGTGATGGTGTGTCGCAGACCTATTATAAATAAAGTATAGTATCCTTCATTTAGCGCTTAAAATTTTAGATGAGGTAATTTACTCGATTTAACACTTGACAATAACTAGCATGTACTACCAAGTTGGGGCCAATTATATGAATCCTCAGTAAAAATATTTTAATGCTAGCTAGAAGTACTCTACATTAATTTCCTTCTGATATTTAGATTTAAAAACTCTTGGCAAACACTGGACCTAAAGTAAACATACTAACATGATTAACTTACCTTATCTTCTCCGAACTTGATCCAGAATCTAGCCTGAGCCCTTTCATGAGGATCCTTTGGTAGCAAAGGATTCTGAGGCCATGTCTCTTCGATGTATTCAAGGATGACTGTGGACTCTGCTATTGGTTTTCCAGCATGTACAAGAACAGGAATCATCTTATAGATAGGGTTGTATGTCAAAAGATCATGGCTCTTATTTGAAAGATCTTCCTCTATGTATTCATAGTTGATACCCTTGTGTTTCAGAGCCCAAATTACCCTATAACTAAAGGGACTTGGAAAAGCTCCTAGCAGTTTCACTTGGTCTTCCATTTTTTTTCTCAGTCGAAGCTAATACAAGTTGTGATTGTTTGCAAATTTCAAGACTCAACTTATTGCCATTGGTAATTTATCTTGACGCTTGCGCCGGTCTTTGAAATTTCGACCACATATTAGAATTTTTTATATGAACACATAGGTCAATTAGTAACGATTTAACTTTTTCTACCAAGTTGAATAAAAATCCTACTTAAAAAATGAGACAGGTGGAGTCACAATAGAGATTCCATATATATATATATATAATGATCTTCTGATGGCTACTTAATATTTGTCTCACCTGACAAATGAGCAGGTAAGCGTCGGTCGGTTCTGTTCGATTTTGTAGAAGTTAGGTTCGGTTTATTCGATTTTTGGTTTGTGATTTTAATAATCAAAATCGAACCATAATAATTTCGGTTCAATTCGATTTATTCATGTTCGGTTCGGTTTAATCGATTTAGTTTTTCGGTTTCAAGCCATCGAAAAAATGTTACGAAACAACAAAAATAAATTTCTTGTTGACAGAAAAAGAAAAAAGAAATAAAAAATCCCGTCAAATGCACGAAAAAGATAAGAATCTTTATGCAAGAAAAATCATTCTTCATTACAAAAACAGAAAAGAAAATAGTATGAGCAGTATCTTGCGTTAAGCTTGCATTGGTGCAAAATATTTAAAGTTAAACTATAAAAATTCAAAATCTTCCTACTTTAAGTTTTGTCTTAACATATATTAATCTGGCATGATTCGATTTTTTCACTCATTTGAAAAGTAACAAGTAAGATTTATTTGATAAGTTTCAAATTGAAATTGTTACTTATTGTCATTTTATGTTTCTCTTTTTATTGATATTCCGTGATAGACTTTTGATTTTATGTATTTATGTGATTTCTGGTAGTTAATTTCTTTTTGTTACTAGCATATACAAATTTTATTCAGATGGTTCAAATTTCCTGCCGTACATGTTTTTTGTAAAAGATATGTCGATCTTAGACAAGGTGACAATTATAGGTCTGACACACCCAATGGTTTGGGATTCTTTAGTTTGAGAATTAGTTTTCAGCTTTAAGACTAAGAAAGAGTAATAGGGTAAGAGACTAAGAGTCCAAAAGCTAGTAAAAAAAACTTCGATTTTTCGGTTTAATCGAAAACCGAACCGTTAAAACAATAAATCGAAAAACCGAAATTGAATAAATCAAAATTTTCGATTCGACCGATTTTTTTCGGTTCGGTCAGTATTATGCCCACTCCTACAAATGAGTGATATTTTCATTTATCAAGGGTCCATCAATTATTGGCCACTTATTCTCTCACATTGGTTGATGTTATTATTCTTATGTAAATAGTGAATCGGTAACTCCTTTTTTCTTTTGAGATCTTTACACAAATAGCCGGTCATATTCATTATTTATTTTTTATAGTCATATACATAAATTATACAATGATTATACACAATTATATATATATATATATATATATAATACACAAATATATATATATATATACCTTCACCGACTATTTTTAGTTTAAGTGGTTGGGTGAATAGCTATTTGGATTAATTCTTCTTTACTTTTTCCCTTCCAAAGACAGTTTTAGAAATGAATAAATTGTTAAGCATAACATAACAAACTTATGACGGTAAAAAAACCATAACAAACTTATGTGGGAACCCTCATTATAATGTAGCTAGTCTTAAGGTACGCGCGTTACGCGTGTACCCTATATCGATGAGCATAATTTTTAAGACTTATACATATATTATTAATCAGTATGTTTGAGTTATTAAATATAAACTAAAAATAATAAAAGTTTCTGAAAATGATATATATTGATTCTATTTAGGTGGTTAGCCATTTGAGCTGGTATAACTATTACTGTAGTAATTATAGTTATAAAACATAGGCAAAAACAATATGAACTAATAAGATCCATAATTGATATGAGTTAGAACACCTTGCAAAACAACAATTTAGATATCGTATGTATTTACAAAGCAAAAGACTTAGAGTCTAAGAACATAAATATCCTTAAATATTGAAGGACTATCGCCTAATATTATCGACTTTAATAACAGTTATTTCTCACTTATTCTTCGTGGACTTTGCCGTTTAATTTTAGATTATTTTTATATTTTGCAAAAAAAAAAATATTACATAATTCAAATAAGAATTTTTTTTATACAAGGTATTTAATATTAGAATCTTTTATATATATTCAGATAATGAAGAATTTAATGCAAAAAATTTAGTTGATTTAAACTACTAATATTAGAAAAAAAGCTTAATCTCAAGCAATCATATTCAAAAGAAAATAGAATAAGCAGAACTAAGTTGTAATCCCATGTTTTGTGAAATAAAGTATTTGAAAGAAATACTAATAGTTTAAATGATCTAAGAAATTTAAAACATTATTTTTTGAACCGAAGGATCATAAAAATCTTTTAACTAAAGTGGTAGAATCATAGTTTACCTTGTCCTAACTCCTAAGTATTGGTTCGTGATAATTGAATCACTAAACAAATTAGTTGTAATATCTAATTATAGAACACAATCGTTCTAACTCTAACAAAATAAAATAAAAACAAATACACAAATAGCAATATTCTCAAAATTTAGAATTACATGTAAATTAAAGCTCATTAATATAAAGGCAAATGATTTATAGAAAGTAAATCGCATTTGAACTTCAAGTCCTAAATATTAGGATTTCTTATATAGTTCAAATAAGGGAAGATTTATTAAATAAAGTTATAGTTTTTTTTAAAATTCCTAAATATTAGTAAAACGACTGTTTTGTCTAATGCGAATTATATTTTTAAAGGGTAAAAAAGGTGAACGACATTTCGTTAAGGGCCTTCGTGCTTTTAATATAATATACTAGTCTTAGAATACGTGCGATGCGCGTGTACTTTGTATCAATAAGAATAAGGTTTTTAAAAGTAACATAAAATATATTCAAAAGACATATTTGCATTATAAATATAAAAAATATTTTAAAAATATGAGCTTTTGAAAATGATAAATGTTAATCATGTTTGAGTTTGGTTCGCTTAAATAAGTAAAATTTTATATTTTTAGTTGATTTTAAAGTGGTAAATTGAATTGTAACATGAAAAAATTAACAACTATGTCACGTTGCTAAAATAAACAAATAATTCATATAAGGTAATTTAAATCTAAATTAGTTTTAAAGTAAAAAAAAATCAATTAGCCCAAATGGTTTCCATGATGTTCCCCTATATTTCTTACTACCATTGAACGTGCATGTGTTGGGTGAATTTATTAAAGCGTTTAATTAATAGAATTTTACATGTTAAGAACTTAATATGGAATGATTACTGTTATTTAAATAATTTAAATAAGGTAAAATCTTAATTGATTTTGAACTCTTAAATATTAGGACTTCATATATAATTCAAATAAGGAACTAATTCTTAAATATTAGGAAAATAAGTTGAATTACTATTTTGTCTAATGTGAACTTTATTTTTAAAAGGTAAAAAAGACGAACGATATTTCGCTAATGGCCTTCGTACTTTTAATATAGTATAGATAGATTATCGTTCTCTACAAATTCTGAATTGTGAAAATGGGACAAAGGGGTAAATAAACGGTAGCCAAACAGAAAAATTAAATCCCTAGGAAATACAAAGTGGATAAAACCATCTCTTCAGACTTAAAGGAAACAAATATTCCATCCCTTCCACTACACGACCATATTTTTTTAAAATTTTATTATTATTAGAGGGAGAGAATAGAAAAGGGGAGAGGATTAGAAGGCGAAAAATAAATGTGAAAGTTTAGGTAGTCATCTAATTAGATTACTAAAGATTCTATTACACGACCATATTTGACCCTACGAGTTAAAATACCACAACTATTCTTATAAATAAACTAATCCTTTCCTTTCCGTTTATGTGAACCTTTTTTGGGACAAATTGACTAATTTTAAGTGTGATGAATTGTCACGATCCATAATCCCAACCTGTCGTGATGACGCCTATCTCGATACTAAGCAAATCGATAATCTCAATAAACCACAATTTCTGTTAAGTTTGAAAATATAATATTTAAATACAATACAAAATTCCACAAATACTGATACGAACACTCCCCAAAATCTGGTGTCACTGAGTACATGTGCATCTAATATGAATACAAGTCTGCAAAAATATGGTCTATAATAATATAAGACCAAATACAGTAAACAAGGAGATAGGGAAGGAGAGACAAGGTCTGCGAAATGCGGCAGTTACCTCAGAATCTTCGGAAATTAACTGCGTGAAAGAATCAACACCCGCTATGTCCGGAAACACATGGATCTGCACACGAAGTGCATGGTGTAGTATGAGTACAACCAACTCAGTAAGTAACAATAATAACTAAGGAACTGAAAATAATGACGAGCTACACAGTTATAGTTCATTATCAGTACTTCCAGCAGAGAGTAGACATGCTATCAATTCCAACAGTTTAAGTCAAATCAGTTTTATATAGTTCAAGTTCATGTAGTCCGGATATAAAAATCTTTCAGAGAATTTTACAACAATGACATATAGCAACTAAATGCAACAACAAATGAAAAACAAGTACAACCTCTCAGGACAACAATTACTCACTGGTCTCCCAGCCCTCAACGCTCTCACTCAATGGGTTCCCGCGCTCACTGAGAGTGTACAGACTCCGAAGGGGCTCCTACAGCCCAAGTGCCATAATCCGTGCGGACAACTCACGCGCTGCATGGACAACTCATGTGCTATAGTATCCTGCACGGATAACTCACGTGCCATAATATCCTTCCCTCACCGACAGGCCCTCGGCCTTACTCAGTCCTTAACCTCTCTTGTCTCTCGGGCTCTCGAAAATCACAAAGATCAGCCCAAACAAAGATAACATAGTGTATCAACAAATATCAAGAAAGACTGAGGTATGATACGCAAGTAAAATCATAACTAAGTACAAGACAACAATTAGCAAATCATTCAACAAGTACGCGATCTCTGTGGGTCCCAACAGTATCATCACATAGCCTAAGCATGATTTACAGTCAAATTTCTTCAACACATAGAGAGCA